AAATGGGATAAGTTAAAGGGAACTCAAATTCGTAATTACTAGCCAACTGCTTGATCACTCTACAAGCTAGGTACGGAGAACAAGCTAGACCATAAGTCACGGTTTTCAATTAATAAGCTAAAAGCGGTTCTAAACTAGAGAAGCGCCAAAAGATACACTGATGTTTCTGATCAATCTCATCTACACAAACCTGACGAAACATCTTTTCTATATCAGACGAAAAAACAAACTTTTAAGATCTCCAAAAAGTAATAAGATCAAAAAGATTACACAACAAATTGGGCCCAACATGGAGTAAATCATTCAGAGAGATGCTCGCTTTGAATTTAGCTGAACCATTAAAGACGGTACGGAGTTTTGTAGTTGTACTTGCAAGTTAAATTACTCCATGGTGGGGTAAGAACCAACAATCATTGGTCTCATCGAGTTTTAACTTCACCATGTGATTAGGATTGATATACTCACGCATGAACAAACTATAAGCATCAAACAATACTGAGTTATTATGAAATCTACGCTCTAAATTTTTCTGCATAGTGATAGACAGAGTCTTAGCGGCATCACGTTCTTTAACTACTGGTTTCGGATCAGTCTTAAATGGAAGTCTAACTACATATCTACCAGTGCTATCTCTGTAATGGGTGTCAATAAAATGTTGTTCGCAAGCTCTTTCATCCCCTGTCCAAAGATAATTTGGATCAGCAGGGAGTTCCTCTATTTCCCAAAAACGCTTAAACAAGAGAATAAGTTGATCCTCTTCAGCGCAATGCAAAGAAACTGTACTACCACTAGTTGCTTCCTCGAATCCCATAGAACCTGAGAGAATCCACCCTAATAAAGTACAAGTAGCAATAGGCTCATTAAGTTTGCCCTTCCGGACTGACCTTTCGACTATTTGAGCATGCACATCAGCTCCAAGTATGATATCAATATTATCCATACTTGTGTAACAAGGATCCACTAATTCTAAACCTTCCAAATGACTAAAACTTGAAACACAACGATAAACAGGTGGCCAATGTTAAGAAATTCGAGATAATACTTTAGCAGTGATGGACAGCTTAAACTCTGAAGGAAACCTAGGCGAAATAGTAAATTCAACTTCACTCCTAGCTATACCAACTAAAGTACCACCAGAACCACTAATTGGGATATTTGAACATTGATGTTTAAGTATTAACAATGTACATAGAGCATCAGAAACTATTGAACACTGGGAGCATTGATCCACCCAAGCCCTTACCATCAATCTAATATCTGTGGGGCCCAGGACATAGAGACGAACAGTGGCCAATAGTACACCAATACTTCTAGAGAGAGAATCTTTACTATGATGGACGGCTTGAGGTACTTCACAATGTTGAGACGAAAGTGCATGAGAATCAATGACTTGAGAAGCCTCAGAAGATTCAACCTGCTGGGGTTTGGAAATATGCAACAGTGTACGATGTTTCCTTTTACAGGTTAAGCAAGTGCCCTTGGATTTGCAATTTTTAATCAAATGATTACCCAGACAGTTAAAACACAACCGTTGTCGACTAAC